GGGGGGGGGGGGGGTTTATTGTACATGGTATTATGATGTTTTTGTTGCCTAATCTGTTTCGGTATTCTCCTGCCCAGTGACCGCAGATGAAATTTAGCTCTGTAGCTAAGTTACTGTATTTGGGCCTCAGGTGAATACGGCTAATGTAAACCGTAATCTGGGGATATTTAAACTCCTTCATTAAACCAACTGTGACAACTTTGGGAGTCCTCTTAGATACCTCCCTAAAATTTGATCAACATATTAAGACAGAAGTGAAGTCAAGGTTGTTTTTAAGTCCTTAAATGATCTGGCACCCTCCTATCTGTCTGACTTATTAAAAGAAAATAAGCCAACAAGACGTGTGAGATCCACAGCAAACTCTGTCTCAGAATCAGATCACGGCTGAAGGCTAGAGGAGATGTGCGTTTACAACAGCTGAGCCGAGGCTATGGAGCAGCCTTCCTTTAGCGGTGAAAACTGCACATTCTGTCCACGAGTTTAAAACTAAATTGAGAGAAAATCCTTTTCAATGTTAGGAAATCACCAAAATCTTTTCTGGAGCATTCACCTTCTCTTACTGCAAAATAACTGCAATGACATGCTTTGTTTTTAGATTTTATATTAATGATTAAAACAGCTAAATAGATGATCTCTGAGCTGCATGTTTTTCTCTCCCTTGTGTTATATAGTTTTGCTTTTGTAAAAGAAAAATCATGCTTGTAATGTTATGTATACAATATGGTTTGTTTCACATATCTGAAAATAAAAAGTAAAAAAAAACTATTTTAAGCGAATTTTTTAACCTTGTATGTTAAATTATTGCTTGATTTTATTGATATTATTCTTTCTCCTGGTTTTGATTTTATTTGTACAGCACTATGGTGAACTGCTGCTGTGTTTATGAAATGAGAGGGGAGTGGTCAGGACTGAGGGGCGGGGCCAAGGAAAGCATTCATTGGACGGGGGATTTTAAAATCAATTAGTGATGTTGACAGTCACGATCAGCAGCAAACACTGGTCAGTGCGTGACCTTTGACCCCAGGATCTCACCGGACAGGTCGCTGCTCTCGATGCGCCTCAGGTCCATGTCGACCCAGAAGAGTTTTCCCAGCTCGTTGTCGACGGCCAGAGCGACCGGCTTGCCCAGATTACTGAAGAACAGCACCTCGCGCTCCGTCCCGTCCAGAGCGGCGCGCTCGATCTTCGGAGAACGCTCCTGCAGATTGGTGAAGTACATGTACCTGCGGAGCAGACGCCAACAACTCTTCTGTGTTACACGTTCCTCAAACGTTATGTTTGAATATGCAAATAAGGCATTATCTAAGTAAATATGCACTCATTTGCATACATTTCTCAACACTGGATAAAGTCAGGTTCAAAATGCTGGTTTGATTTCATCATATTACAGTTAATAAGGTTTTTTCAGAGGAGGTTTTAGATTTCTCTTATCACTCCATGAGTCAGAAAATAATGTCAACAGACAGAAAACAAACACATTTTCACCATATTTTTAGGCATAAATGTTGTATAAATCAGTGTGAATGAAATATGAACAGAGCTGGGAAGGTTACTTTGGAACAGTTACAGATTACAAGTTACTCTATTTAAAATGTAGCAAGTAGTGTAACTTTCAATTACTTTATTAATGTAACTGATTACATTTGATTACTTTTCTACATTTCTAATGTTTTGAAATTTAAATGAACAATTTATGAAAGAGATCAATTAAATCTGTATGTGTATGAATATATTCAGATGTAACCCCCCCTTTGTAATCGTTAACATTTTCAGAACTAATTTAATTACACATTTTTTCTCAGTAACTGTAACTGATTACATTTATTTTGTAATTAAATTCCGTAACTGCGTTACATGTAACTAGTTACTCCCCAACACTGCATCTGAGCAAGCCTTCAGAACATGAGAGGAATACAGCTGTAACGTCTGGTGAATGTAAGAGATTAAACTCTTTACAGACATGGACTGAAGCTGAACTCTACAGACGCAGACTGATAAACAGCTAAACGTGTTTGAGATGTTTCCAGTGCTCTCACCCTCGCTCCGGATTGACCACGATGGCGCGGGGTTTGTCGTGTTCTCCGCGCAGCACCACGCCGACCCGTGACCCGTCGATGCGCGTGACGTTGATGACGTTGGTCACTTCGCTGGTCCAGTAGATGAAGCGGCTGTAGACGTCGATGCTGAGGTCGTAGGGCTGCAGGCCGAGGCTCGACCCGGACACCACCGTCTCGCTCTGAGGAACAATATATATTATTATATTCTATATATTCACACTGTGTTCACCAGCTGTCTGCTTGGAATAATCTCCTTCCCGACCCATCCCGCTAAAGTTAGATCTCCAGAATCTCACATTTAAAATTCTACTACTAAAAGAGAGAGTATGTAGTCTGCACAAACATTGTATTCGTCTTGTGAAGATACAATGCGTTTTATATTTTGCGTTCAACACAATAAGAAAAAGTGTCGCAGGGGAACATTTTTTTTTTTTAAATGTAGGTTGTACAAAAATTCTAGTCTATTTGTTATTTTTATTTGTCTTTTTGAGTGAAAAAAGCATTATGCCAAAAAAAGATTGATACCAATATTTGGTGATAATATTGCATAAAAAGAGATTCATAAGCTATTTTTTGTAGGCCGGTCATTTTTGACCGGGAACACCACAAGTGTGATTTGTTTAGCAAATTTTTTTTTTTTTAATTTTGTACAAAAAAAGCTTTTCAAAACAAATTTCTTGGTTAAATATTAGATCATGCTAGTGTGAAAAACGGTGCAATTTTTCATATTTGATTTAATATTGACAAAATTATACACAAATAATGCTTTTTTCACTCAAATGCTGAAGTACGTAAACTCAGATTAATGAGGCCTACAAAAAATGTGTTTTTATGAATAAACACAAAACCAGTCCTAATTAGAAGAAAACAAGTTGGCAGAAATTGATACCAATATTAGGTGATAATATAGCATAACAAGAGATTTCTAAGCTATTTTTGTAGGCCGGTTGAATAAACTAAAAAAATGTTTTAGGTAAATGAACAATCTTTGCGGTGTAAGTAGTTATACCCCCCGTGCATTTCCACATGTTCCTCGTAAACAGCTGTTTGTCTTCAGTGAGCGTAAACAGATGAGACAGAAAACAAGCGTGTAACAGTGTTTTAGATTCGCGTGGGTTCAGCAACCGAATAAACATGCTGCCTGTCATTCATGCTAATCAAAGAAGAAAAGAAAATCATGCATTCATTTGAATAATTATCTGTAACTTTAATGAGGATTAATGAAGAAAGAAAACTATGCAGTGTTTTTAAACTTTTGATTTCAATTTCTGTACCTGAAATATGTACAGCTGTATTTATTTATGCTGTTGCTAATTGATTTGGTTGTTCCTATTTTATTACTGATGGTTTACACACCAAAAAATTATTTTCTTAGTGTTTCTGTCTTGTTTTCTAGTATAAATATCTAAACGTTCTTGAATCAAGATGCATTTACTTGACAAGTAAAATGATTTAAGATATTAAGTCTCGTTTTCTAAAAAAAAAAAAGTATCACAATTTTGTTAGTTTTTGCTTAAAACAAGCAAAAATATCCGCCAATGTGGTAAGAAAAATAATCTTAATTCAAAGGCTAAACAAGATTATTTTTCTTGCTGCATTGGCAGAAAATAATTTTTTGCAGTGTACTTCTCTTTAACAATTTAATGTGAAATGTATATTATTGTAGTGGTTTTTGATGTGGTATTCTTTGTTAAAACCACAGGCAAAGCTTCCTCTTGTAGGCATAAGTGTTCAGTAAGATGCAGATTTTTTAAATGTTATTCAGCGGCAACAGAATGCTTCTTAAAAACACAGAAGAAAAATATTTCACATCTGAATGTTTTTCTGTTTTTACTTTATTGGAATCGAAACTAGGAATTGTTAAGAATCAGAATTGATCAATTTCAATCGATACCCAACCCTAGTTACCGACCGCTACAGGGTTTTATTGGGAAATTTAATCCTGCGTCGCAAGAAATCTGGAATCTATTCACAAAACATCTCAAAGCAGCTCGTAACTCGCCGATTTAGGAGACAATCTTAAAAATATCGGGCGTGTCAGTCCTAAACGTAGGACTCCTAAATGTTTGCTCTAAGAGTATTTCACAAAGCGTTTAAAACTAGCTCCTAAATCTGTGAAAGGTTAGGAGCCGTGAAGAGGAGTCCTAAGCCACAAACTATCCTAAAAGAGCTGTTTCTGGCAATCTGCCTCAGAACAGAAACATCTTAGAAACGTCTGACGATAATGAGCTTTTAAAAAGATATTGCCTTTGGTTTCGGAGGTTATCCTAACTCCAGATTCTGCTTTGATTATATCCTTGTTTTCATTAAGCAGCTGCTGAAGAAGTAACAGCTGTTCTTTTAGCTGTTTTACGTTTGCATGTCTTACTATCAGCCATGATTATTCTACTCTGTTTATTAAAAGGCTGTTTATATGCACATTCACTAATTATGAGGAGCACACATATAAGAGGCTGACAATTAACTGAACACATACTTGTTTAATTAGTGACACTTAGCCTGCATTGCAAAATCTTTATTTGAATGTGGCAATTAACATTTTTATTTTTAAACCTTTATTTGAATATGGCAACATAATATCGCGCTCTACAATATTTCCATGTTAAATCTCTGACAGAGACTATCAGCCAATCACTGTGTGCATTGTTAATAAGCTTGATGACATCACCCATAGCAATGAGGTAAACCCCGCCCCCTTACTCGCATCATATGACCCCTTTAAGACTTCTCTCTATTCCTTAGTACAAGTTAGTCTCAGCAGCTCTGTGAATAGGTGTTAAGAGAAAACTGCTATACTGCTATTGAGGAGAACTCTCAGTGGCCAGATGAAGTGTTTAGTGAACACGGGCTCAGGTCTCACCTGGTTCCCGTCCTCCTGCGCGCGGCGGATGGCGTTCTGCTTGGAGTCGATCCAGTACAGCTGGCGGTCGAGCGGGTCGTAGTCGATGGCGCGCACGTTTCTGAGGCTGTGGATGGGCAGCATGATGTCGGGGCTCTGCAGCTCGTCGATGACCATGCGGTTGATGGCGGTCTTCTGACTGAACAGCAGGAAGGATGTGGGCGCTGACACACACACACACACACACACAGAGACGATTAACCTTTCATCATCAAACAGTGAGCGTCCGCTTCCAGTTTACTCCTAAACCACCTCACGTGTGTTTCTGACCCATAGAGCAGTGCCAGATTAAACTCATGCAGCTGCTGTTGAAATGGACACTGGTTCACTTCATCAGAACCCAAAAATAAACAAACAATGGTGATAATATACACTCAGCGTGTGCTGTCGTCAGTGTTATTTTGGTATCAGTATTATACTATTACAGATATTTTTAATTAGATATCATATTTTGTTTTTACTTTAAATTTAACTGAAAATTTTACCAATTATATTCGGTTTTAATTAGTGCTGCAACAAACAATTATTTTGACAATCGATTAAACTAACGATTATTCGAACGATTAATCGACTAATCATCGAATATTTCACTGATTAATCAGTAGACTTTGATTGATTATTCAGTTATACATATTCTAATAAATAAATAAATAAAGATAATCACTTCAGCTTTTGAAAATCATATGTTATTATAATTATTATATGATTAATTTATAGAAATAAATATATTTGTCTGAGAAACTCTCTTATTCACCATTTAATTAGCTATATGAAACATTATTCTGCCTAACATCTCCTTTTGTTAGTCTTTTATATGGATAAGAAACAAAATAAAGGTAAGTGATAAGACGCTTTATTTTTGGATAAACTATTTTATTCACAACATAATCTCTTAAAATACTTTATAGGGTTATTATAATAATCAAAACAGTCCTGAGCTAGATCAAGCTTCGATCTCTGCAAACCAAACTATCAGTTTAATGTAATATATTTTCCCACTAATAAACAGATTTATCGCTAGCTAGCTCCACACTGGAGAGCTGCTTTATAACAGAAAATAAAGTTGTAATTCTAACTGAAAGCGACACTGACTCTGGCTTTTCATGTTTAATGCTGTAAAGCTGCTTGGTTTAAGGCTGTCTGCTGCATAAAGTATTATATAAATAAACGCAGAGCTCGTGCAAACATCACATCGCTGTAATCAGATGCTTTCTTAACTGCTGCTTTCTCACCGCTGTCAGTTTTTGTTGTTTATTTCGTTATTGAGAGGAAAGAGCGCAGCATATATTTACATCTTCATCCAAACGCTGTTCGGCTGCGTTTGCTCTGAATTACTGTTTTGCTCTACAGCGCCTCACTGGTCAAACCACAGTACTGCAGGCTCTTACACTAGCTCACATGAAGTCAAACGGCTACTCCACAACAAGAATATTTGTCAACAATTTTTTTTGTCGAAGTTGTCAATGTCGACTAATCGTAATATTGTTTTAAACATGTCTATGTCGTTTTCATTTTTAATTAGAGAGTACATGTTTTTTGTTTGTTTGTTTTTTTAAATATGTACATCTGTGTACATCTGTGTATGTATGTAAGTGGTGTCTAGTTGTCAACAAAACGTGTTATGTCAGAGGAACTTCCGCATGAACGGAAAAAAGTTTAAGTAACTAACTAATTAATTATTATCAATTAGTTTTAGTTAGTTATTTTAGTACTTCAAGTGAAACTAAATGAAAAAAGTTTCTTTGGCAAGTAGCTAAAATAAAATACTTTTATTTTAGTTAATGTTAATTTTTGTGACTTGAAATAACTTTTATTTTACAGCATGAATGTGTGGTCTAAGTGAATAGTAAACAGCTGCTGAGATTCGCAGCGTGGAGGTTCGGACCCGGAAACGACTAAACGAGCGCATTATTGTAGCATGTGTGATGTGAACCCGCCCCCTGATCACATGACCACTACTGCTCTAGTGTGAGGCAGTTTACAGTCACCGTCACACAAACATATGGCCTGCAGGATTATAAAGTCTGTTTTTACTCCGTCAAACGCAGAGCGAGACGCTCAGGGCTCATACGGCCTTCAGGTTTCAGCATCTGCTAGCTTGGCTGCAGCTCGTCCACCACAACAGCTTTAAAAAGAAAATCTCGAACAACGGCTCGCGTCTCCAGGATGGACCCCGGCGGCTCTTTCTGCGAGTAATCACGTTTGAGACCCGCCAAACCAAGCCGAGCGGTAAGCAAACGCACACGGAGCAACGTGACGAGGCGAAACACCATCATGCGCTGAAGAAAAGGTTTTGAACCACAAACTCAAAAAATCTGGATCCCAAACCTAACAGGAACCAGACACGCTCACAGACATGCATATGTGTGCGTGTGAGTCTGTGTGAGAGTGAGTGTGTGTGTGTGTGTGTGAGAGTGTGTGTGTGAGTGTGTGTGTGTGAGTGTGTGAGAGTGAGTGTGAGTGAGTGTGTGTGTGTGTGTCAGTGTGTGTGTCTGTGTGTGAGTGTGTGTGTGTGTGTGAGAGTGTGTGATGTATGAGAAAAGTGGCTGTGTGTGTGTGAGACGTGTGAGTAAAGCGGCTGTGTGGGTGTGTGTGTGCGTGCGTGCGTGTGTGTGTGAGCTCACCGCTGCAGGTCTTGTTGTCGTAGTTGAGTGAGTAATGCGCGGGGCAGCCGCACACGAAGCTGCTGACAGGAACAGCCAGACACAGGTGCGAGCAGTGACCGTTGGTGGAGGCGCAGGCGTTCCAGCCGCTCTGTCTGGACGAGTGGAACACCAGTATGTCCATGACGTAGTCCAGATGTCCCTGTATGACGGTGCGGTTCTGCCCGCTGGTCTTGTTGGCCCGTTCGATGCTGCGCTGGCTCCAGTCGGTCCAGTAGATGTAGTCCTGGTACTGCGTGAGTCCAAACGGATGCGGCAGATCGTCAGCGATCACCTCACGCTCCAGACCTGAACATCACAACAACATCAGGATCAGAATCAGCTTTATTCACCATGTGTGCGCAGACACGCAAGGAATTAGTTGTGGTTTTTCGAGGTGCTCTTGGTACATACATGTATACATATATATCTGACATGAGAACAGAAAACATTTAAATAATAATAATAATAATAATAATAATAATGTGTATGAATCTGGAACAGAAGATTTATGTACAGATTTGTGCATTATTTACTCTACATACAGCTGTATTAATAAAAAGATATGCATATGTATTTACATAGTACTCATCACAACTGACACAAATATATGAAATATAGAGTTTATATTTTATATAAATCTATATTTATAAAAATGTATTATATATTTTTATTTTATTTTACTTTCGTTCATAACCAATGTAACAAACAAGTAAATAAAACCCTAACCTCGATTATATATGTGAATATCACATATAAAATGAACTACACTAGTTAACATGAACTAACAATAAAAAAAACACTTCAAAGCATTTATTAATCTCAGATAATTTCAATATTCACTAATACATTATTAAAATCAAAAGTTGTATCTGTTAATATTATTTAATAGACCTGAGCTCACATGAACTAACAATGAACAGTTTAATTTAATTCAATTATATTATAAACAGGGGTGCACATGCGCGAACAAAATAAAACATGCGCTGTAAGTAAGTTCAGGCTGATCATCTGCGTACCGACAGGGTTGACAGCTGTTAATGCACAACTACTATTTTAGATCGACAAACTGTAATACTGTACAAGATTTCTATTTGAACTGAAAGCATAAATCTAGGCAACACGCTCCCGTTTATAAAAGCACAACACAAAACTGTGACACTCCGTTCACTGACGCGCTTCAATCAGCAGCGCATACACTTCCCTGCCAGAAACCCCACAAAATAAAAGCTTGCTGATTTTAAGTTTGAAAATGATGAAAATTAATATTAAAAAATGCTTTTTTTATTTTTAAGTTTATTAAAAATAAGTTTATTATAAGTCAAAATCAATTTTTAAATAATTTTAAAAGTTTTTAAATTCCTTGTTTTTATTCTTGATTATTTTTTATGATTATTTATGTAAAGCACTTTGAATTACAATTGTGTATGAAATGTACTATATAAATAAATTTGCCTTGCCTTACTATAAAATAATTTAAATTTTTATTTAATACACCCTTTTTATTTTAAAATATAATAGTATTATCACACTTTATTAATAAAATAAATAAAGTGCAATAATATTATCACTATTATTAATAGTTATATTTGATGGGTCACACTACGTGCAGTGTGGGGCCCAAACCAACTCTCCAGCTGCTCTCATGAGAACCAGGCTGAAGCGCTTATGTGCACCCCTGCCTACACATGTATTTTCACACTGTGTATCTGCTGCAGAGACAGTCGTCGCTGATATTGACCCAGCATGTTGGAGGACTCGATCAGCGTGGTGTCCAGGTCCGTCCAGTACAGCCGCCGCTCGGTGTAGTCGATGGTCAGTCCGTTCGCACGGCCCACGTTCGGCACCAGAGTGATGCGTCCAGAACCATCCATGGCCGCGCGGTCGATCTTCGGCCGTCCACCCCACTCTGTCCAGTACATGAAGCTGACAGGAACACAAGCAGACCGTGTCACATGACCACAGCGACCGGGACCGCGTCCTGAGCAAGCGTGCCGCTCGAGTCCTGAAGAGTGAAGCCAAAGCGTCTCGATCGCCCCCAGCTGATAAACCCTCTGACCCTGAGGTAGTTCTTATCATGCTGATTTATGTTCAAGTTGCTTTTAACTAGTTATTTGATGCTATAAAAACGGGGTGTGGTGTCATGATTGTGATCCAGCTATTGGGTCTGCGGGAGTTTGATGATGAGGCTTCACCTCACGATCGCTAGCACAGACTCTGGCTCTGACGCAAGATGACCGCGGCCATACTGAGATGCTTTGGCTTCACTTTTCTACAGAGGAAGGAAGTGGAGACGCGTCGTCTAGGGGTGTGTGATGTACATCGTCTGCGATAATATCGTAGTTGTTGTTTTAACGATGTGCGATTTGACGTTATCGAGCATTTTGTAAAAAGCATTCTACACACCTACAGAGCGCACGCATACATTACGTGAAGATTAGTACTTCTCAACTGGTTTGGCCATGGCACCCACATTTTCTCATGGTCATCAAGCCACAACCCAC